GTTCAAGTTTGTTCAACTTCATATATAGAGGTGCTAGAAAGATAGCCGTTTGTTTAACCTTTTTTGCTAAATTGCATATATATTATACAATTTTTGTTTAATTTTGTTTAATTGCGACATTAATAAGAGGTGTGAACTTTCTAGTTAAATATTCTTTTGCGGTCTGTGATAAGACCGTAACAACTTTTTGAAGCAACTTAAACACATACAACTACAAAGAAAGTTACAAACCCTTGAAAAAATAAAAAACATTGGGTTGTAATAAATAGAAATCTGAAATATTAAAAAATCGATAGCTTTTCTAAAAAAAGCAATGATTGGTTTCTATGGTTTCTATGGTTCCTATGGCTGCATTCTTAACATTTTAAAGTTATTTAATTCTAATTAGATTTTTATTTTATTTTAGGTACCCCAAGAAGATCTAACGGTCTTGTCATAGAATATCGCGGAAGTGCATTTGACTAGAAAGTTCACGCCTCTTTCCCTACCGATGACGCGAATTATGTCCATAGCTCGGTCAACAAAATGAAATTTCTTAATTATTAGTTTGGTAATGATTTTATTGATCCTCATTTATGCTTTTTCTCGAGGGCTTTATTTTATTAAGAACCATTATTCTTAATGATTTTCTCAATTTAATAGCTATCCTCATTATAACTTCTGATTTTAATAAAATACGAATAAATGCACATTTATTTAATAAATAAAAGAAAAAACACATCATGGATTTATTTCTTTTATAAAAATGACGTCAAAAACAAAAAATTACACAGCTACCTTTTTTTTAAATTTCATCATCATTATTTGTAAGATAACAATTTAACAATATATAAATTGGTATCGGTAGATCACAAAGGTCTTGTTGCCAGAATCATTTAAAATATTCAAAATATATAAATAAAGAAAAAAAAGCAAATTATTTAGAAAAATATTAACAGTATACAATCAGACTGAAAACAATTTTACAAATTTTGAAGACTAAAAAAAGTTTTACATCTCAAAAATACTTTTGATGGATGGGTGATAGAAATAGTACTGAAAAATGAATTGCCTGTCCGAACCAAAACCCTCAGCCAATTTATATACACTCCCTGCATGTTCTATCCATTTAGTCAGTCAGGCTATGTATACTCCCGGTTTGTTCTGATTTGTTAGATCACATTAAATTTATTTTGTTTTCGACACTATTCATTAAACTTATTTGCAACATTATTTCCTTATTCTGTTGTCTACACTATTTATTAAATTCATTTGCGACAATCATTCACTGCGACATTTTTCTTATTTTGTTTTTCGACACTTAAAAATGCGACAATTATGCAAGTTAATGATCATGTTTTTACTTTTTAATATTATTACTTTACATCCATATTTTCAAGAAAATCCTAGTCTAATCTGAATTAAATAACGCTTATGCAACATATTCACTGATTAGGATTAATAAATAGATGATTTGAAATTAATATTAAACGTTTTTGCTTAAACATAATAATAATAATAACAATTTTTGTTTTTTTACAAGCAAAAATTATTATTATTATGTCATCATACGACAGAGTTATAACCAAATTATTTTCAACATGTACGTCCGATAGATGTTCTAAATCTCTTCTTTTATAGTAGCCCTACAAACATTTTTTTAAATCAATTTTAGTTTACTTAAAGATCGTTCACCTTCTGCAACAGGTACTGGCATTGCGTTAAAAAAATTTAAATTAGAATGCATATAGATTAGAAAATAGGGTATAAACCCTTTGAGTATTTTTAATTGAGAAAGCCTAAAGTGTTTGCACAATTGATCAATAAAGACTACTTCAAACTATTAAGATTCGAAATATCTTCCATAAAGTTCACAAGCTTTTTTTTTAACGTTTCATGAACTTTCAACCAGATGAATGAATATCTTAGGGAAACAGTTTTTTCTATCCTAATTTTAAATTAAATTTGTTGAATGGAATTACAAAGCGCAACGTTGAAGATATTCACTTCAAGTTTATGTTCAAGAAACCTATGGAAAAAAACTGCATATCCAGCTCATCATTTGCTTTGCAAAAAATTCTGTTTCATTCCCGAGAAAAATCATCTGCTCATCATGCGTCGATATTTTAGTTAAAGCTAAAGTAGGTTTTAAAGTAGCCGTAATTTTTCGTTGTCGTTTTGCAATTAGTTTTATTGCGACATTCTCACCTGAACGTCTGGTGTCTGAAAGCTTGTAAAGCAAGACCTTCCATCTAGCGGGACTGCAGCTGAAAACAAAAAGATCTTATATTTTTATTTATTTATTATAATAATCAATAAAACTTATACAAAAAAAGCTTTAAATGAATTTTATAAAGGAAAGCAACACCAGGCTTTCATAAGCTGACAATTGACGTTGCTGCAGCCGAAGTAAAATCATAAAAATACTTTTAAAAGAGTGAAAATACTGAAAATACATCAAACGTTCCCGACGGGCATTTGTTTTTAAAAGTTACGATCTAAATGTCTTTTAAATGTCTTTTAAACGTCTTTTAAACATTATTGTTTAAAAGACGTTTAAAAGACGTTTAAAAGACGTTTAAAACACATTTAGAACGTAACTTTTAAAAACAAATGCCCGTCGGGTTGTTGAACAAGAGCAATTATTTATTTGGCAACAATATCACCAGGCTTACATCAAAAATCTGTGGTTTAATGTACAGTTTTTTCCATAGATAAATTTCCGTAGATTCTGATACAGTTTTCCATATATGGAAAACTCTTTCAGAATCTACGGAAATTTATCTATCGAATAAACTATACATTATCTATGGAAAAAAACTGCTTTTTAGCTATAGTTAAAAATCTCCGACAATGAAATGACTTGAGACAACTAAGCATTTAATTGCCAACTCAAACGTTCATTACCACCAATGTCAGCCATGGTAATATTAATTAGTTTTTGCGACAATTAACTTGCAATACTTTACCAGGGCCGTACCAGGCCAACTTTGCGCTTCGGGCAAGCAAATAAAATTGCGCCCCCTCCAAAAAAATATACAAAAAACATATTATATCTATATATATTTACATGAAAAAAAATTAATTATTGATCACAAAATTTATCGCATCAAGTTAAAAGAACAATTTGTCACCAATGTTTCACATACTTCAGTTCAAGGTCACTTTTCTGGCTTTTTTAGAGGCAAAGTCACTAATGACATCATCAAAATCAAGTGCGTTGGCAACTTCATGTTCAATTGAAAATACTGCCAGATAAGACAAACGTTCTTGGCCCATAGTTGATCTCAAATAGTTTTTTATGATCTTAAGTTTACTGAAACTTCTTTCACATGTGGCAACTGTAACTGGTAAGGTGAGGAAGATGCGAATAGCAATTGCCGTGTTAGGATAAGCATCAGTCAATGAGTATTTATGAATGAGCTGCAAAATGTCCATCGGGCTAGATTTTTCAAAGTTTTCCATCATGGCAGCAGCTTGATATTTAAAGCTTGCCATTTCTGACTGGAAATCTGAAGAATCTAAATCTGCCTTGTAAATTTCAGACAAATTTTTGGCTTTAGTCTTAAGTTCATCCACTGAACTTTTGGAGAGAGAATGTCCACTGAGGAAGTCAAAATGTGAGGATACTGCAGACATACCTTCAAACCGCCACTCAATTTGTGTGAGAATCCTGTCAAACACAAGGTTGCACTGGGATCCGAAATCTGTTTCTGGTGACAAACGGCAAAAGTTATCTTCAGCTTCATAAAGTGCCACCTGCTTCACTTTGCACTTTCTCTTCATAGGAAAGTCTCCTTCAATTCCAATTTGGATAGCTGTTTCTGCAGCAGCTTTGATAATGTTGTCCACCCCAACATCTCACAGATTCTGAATGGAAGCCTTCAGTCCTTTCATTTTTTTTGCTGCAATGTCAATTGAAATGTTTTTATACTGAAGCAGTTTGTTTTCCGGTCAATTAAAGAAAGAATTTGACACCAAAAATCCAACAAACACAGAAAACTGAAATCAATTTGAATGATGAGCTCTTTTGCACTGCAAACTGAGACAACATTTGTCTTGGGAGTGTGAATTATGGATTCCAAAACTTGAAGAACTTCTTTGATTTGTCTGTGTAGTGGGGTGATTGCTTCTTTTTTGGCAGACCATCTTGTATCACTATTTCCCTTTAGTGAGATGGTCAATGTTTTCATCAGTTTTTCCCATCTTAAGGTAGAACTTGAGAAAAAGTTAAAGATGGCTTGAACTTTTTTAAAGAATGTAATCATGAGTGGAGAAACTTCAGCAGCATGGACACCAACAAGGTTTAAAGTGTGAGCTGCACATGGAACAAATCTTGCAAACTCATTTAGAGAATGGATGTGAGCTTGGACGCCATTATATTTTCCAGACATATTGGCTCCATTGTCGTAACCTTGGCCCCGACAATCAGAAATGCTCAGGCCATCCTTCTCCAGTTTTTCGGTGATTTCAGCTGCAAGGCCCTTTCCAGTTTTTTCGTAAGATTCAATGAAGTCCACAAAGCTTTCCTCAATTGTACAGGTTTCCTCAGTGATGTGGACATACCTGATTATTTGGGTCATCTGCTCTTTGTGGGAGGCATCTGGAGTGCAGTCAAACAAAACAGAGTAGTATTTAGCTTCTCTGACATTTGACAAAATTTCATTCCTGACTTTCTACCCAAGTAATTCAATCAGCTCATTTTGACTTCGAGGAGAAAAGTAGGATGTTGTGGTTTTCTTTGCCTTAACGGATGCAACGTGTTCAGCCACTAAAGGATAATAATGGCTTATCAGCTCAATTAAGTTCAGAAAGATGCCACTGTTTTGCTCTCCAATTACTTCTGTTGAACCCCGAAGGGCAAGATTGTTCTTGGCACAGAACAAATTTGCATCAACAATCACTTTCAAGATATCTCTCCACTTTTTCATCTCTCCGTTGATAACTCTCTGCAGATCAGAATCCAAGGTCTTTCCTTCCTTGAGATTTTTTTCCAGATTTTTCCAATCAGATCAGCATCTTTAGTGTTCATTTCTGTTTTCGTGTTCTGGAATTCTTGGGTTTAGTTTTTTCCAGTCACAAAATCCTTTTGAAATTTCTGAAGAATTGTTGGTTTTTGTCGTTGAAAATAGCAGACAGCAAAAACAAAACAAAGAACCTTTTTTGTTGCTGTACAGCAGCCAGTAGCGAACAAATTTTTCACCATTGGGATGAATTTTTTCATACCATTTTGAGCTGAAGTGTCGCATTCTGTTGTCAAAGTCACAAAGTGTGTTTGGGAAAAATTCTCTTCTTTCTTGCTCCAGCCCATGCTGAATCAAAAAGCACCTTGTTTTATCTGTCATTTTAGGCCATGTAGCTGGATCACTCTGTTGAAAGTTTTCTCCTGAGGTTGCTGAAATTTCTGAAATTTCAGGAGGAAATTCACTGTTGCCCATTTTAATTGGTTTGTAAAGCTGAGAATTTCTATCTTCTTGTGCTTCTGAATCATTTGGTCCAAATTCGTCTTGACTTTGGCCAATCAAAATCTTCTCTTCAATTAATTCCAATGATATGAATTTAAGTCAGTAATTAAAGATGTAGCAGCAACTTCAGCTGTTGAATCATTATCAATTTCATTGCAAATATCCTCTGAAATAATTTGTTTTTCCACAGAAGAGTTTGTTACCAACCACTTCTTGAAACAATTTCTTAGTTTTGCGTCACTTTCAAGACGGTCTCTTCTTTTCTTCTTAAATTCAGCACCAGATAATTTTTTTGCACGATTCATTGTAAAAAATAATGTTCAGAAAATACAACTTTTTATTTTTTAATTGCGCTTTTTATTATTTATTTTTTCTTTTTTCTTTTCTTCTCCCTCTTTATTTTTATTATTATTTGCTTACTTTAGTTTCTTTAGCTTTCATTTCATTCGTTTCTTTATTTAAGCCGCTTAAATTAAGCGTTCTTTTTTTTAAATTCGAAGTTCTTTTTTTCTATATTTTTTTCTTTTTAGAATAATTTTTAATGTGTGCGTTAAATTAATTTATATGATCCTTAATGAATCATTTGTTTATATTATAAATAATTATTGGTTTTTAATTGTCGTTCTTAAATTCAGCACCAGATAATTTTTTTTCACGATTCATTGTAAAAAATAATTTTCAGAAAATACAACTTTTTAGTGTTTAAGGGCGCTCTTCTGTTTGGTAAATGAGCTTTTATTTTAAAGTTCGTCAGGAGGCGCAATTTTAATTAATTTTCTTATCAACATAAAAGTGACGCCACGCAAATTAGTTTCATAATGTGAAAATAAATAAATTAATTTGGGGAATTTTGCGCCCTCCCAATTTTGGCGCCTCAGGCCGCGGCCCGGCTGGCCCCGCCCTTGGTACGGCCCTGTACTTTACACTTCTCGACGTTGAAATTCACAAAGTAATTGTACGACCAATTTATAGTGTTGTCGATGTCCGCTTGCAGTTTTTCATTATCAGAAGTAAATTGATTGACATTCGATAATTCATATGATCTTGCCATCATATGGCAAAATCATATGAGTTATCGATGTTATACCATATTATATTGGCGTATTATATGGTTTGGTTATAATATACCATATTATATCGGCGTATAATATGGTATGGTTATAAATGCAGACTAATAAATCATTGATGAAGAACACAAATAGCAGTGAGGCAAGAACTGATCTTTAGGGGACGCCAATTATAACTAGGACGTCTATTAGCTGGCCAACTTTTGATCCAGTTTAATAGCTGACATAAAATACCCAAGCATGAATCTTATAAAGAAGTCGTTGTGTTACACTGTGTTGAATGCTTTGGCAAAGTCTTTTAAAAATTTTTCTTCTAAGTGTGCACAGAAAGCTGCTTCCGTTAAAAATGTTACTAGTTTGTAAGGCAGTCTTTGTGATAAACAAATCCATATTGAGATTTGATAACAGATTGTGCACATTGTTTTATAATCCTATCTATAATAATTCTTTTCCTCACCTATACCTTGCACGGTATCGGTGAGACACACAAGCTTGTAGCTATAAGTCTTGACTTTGATTCCTTTTTTGATGGTCGGCGTTTCACTGGATTTGATTTAAAATTTTAACACTCCTTAGGGAGTCGTTAAACATTAGTAAATAAATTTAATTTAGTTTTTTATTTTATTTTACTATTTAAAACTGTAATTAAATTTTTTTTAAGATTCTAAAAAATTCTTGATGATAAATGCTTTCAAGCATTTATAAGATATATTTATTTTTTTCTAAAATAACCTGACAAAGTTTATCTTTAACAAAAAATGTTTCGTTTGGATATTAGGGTGTTCCAAAAAAAAAAAAAAGCTCTATACTGATTCCCATTTTATGTGACCAAAATAAGTACTAAAAAAAATTTGACGGTTTTATTTTGACAGGAAGTGCTAAATGTAAAATCTGAGTTTTACTGTTTTAATGTTAAGCTGGCTTAATATTAATAGAAAACACTATTTTTTTACATTTTATAAAATCAAAACAAAACAATTAAATGCGTATAAATCTTTTACAATTGTTTTCTAATATAACTTGATAGTTTATATTTATAAATATAAAAATGCAAAAAAGAAATACATGAAAACTAATATTTATTAGCAAATTTAAGATTTTATTGTGGTAAAACATTTCTCAATAAATACAACTTTTTGAACAGTTCCCAAGCTCCTTTTTAGTCATATTTTTAGTCAAGTTTTTTCTAGACTTTTTAACTACAAAAAATACATTTTGATGGTGATCTTCATCTCTAGTAACTGAAATAAAATCTTTAATAAGCTTAATATTTCTTTCTTCACCATCATTTACAACAGATATGTTTTTGATCCATGAAATAAAATCTAGCAACTGAGGATGGTTAAAAACATCTATAGTATTAAGACTATTATTGAGCCATTCTTTTATACTTGCTCTTGATATTTTAAAATGTTTAAAGAAAAGGTAGCTTTGCTCGGAAATCAACTCAGGTAGCTCTGTGGTCTCTCCAATTTGTACACTTGATGGTTTACAACGCTGAAATTCATTTGGCTCTTCAACTCAATCAGAGCTAACAGCATTCTTAGCTTTGTTTCAGAAGGAACTTCTTTATCCCCAAAAGACAAATTTTTTTTTTTTTTGTTAATTCACCTTCTCAAGGCCGAGAAGGCCACTACAGACGAAGAGGCTACTTATTTGTGGTTATACAACCCTCTCTCAACTCTATAACTCCTAAACACGAACCTTGACGAACAAGGCCGCTGCGTGGAGAAACGTATTGATATATCATTGATTTCTTTTACGTTTTTCTGTCTCTCTAATTCTTTCTCTCTCAACTTATCTAGCTTGTTCTTTCTCCTTTTTGCATCCATTACTCTTCTACTGTAGTCTTCGTCAACGTTTCTTCCCATATATCCTTTCCTATCCAACTTTTGGTCTTCCTAAAAACTAAGAAATAGTTAATTCAATTAAGGCATTTATAAATAAATTAATACTTTTTCTAGTTTTTTTGGAAGATGGTCAAATCATGGAAGGAGTTAAACGTAAATATTTTAAAGACTATTACTTAAGTTACTTTAAATCGGAAAAAAAATCTCACTACTAAAAAAGTTATATTTAATGAACTTACTTTATATCTTCCAGCTTGGCATCATCTGTTCTCAATCTATCAGCAAGAATATCTTTTTTAAAATTCTTAGTGGAGATGTCAAAAAGCTGATAGGATTCTGTGAGAAAATCTTTCTCTAACTTTGATTGCTTATCAAGGCTACTGTTCCAGTTTAGAGAAGACAATTTAATCACTTTCTTGTATTTTAGATTAAGTTTAATGATTTTGGTCTTTATATTGTACCCAGAAATCACAAATTTCTTGCCAAACCCAGCATTATCCCCAATTTTTTTAATCCTATTTACCAAGAAAGAGTTATCAGGATCTGTACAAATACAATTTTCACAAACAAGATCTTTGGATTTCGATTTCAATTTGCAACCAACATTAGTAGAAGTGGGTTTGTATTTTACTTGTGACTCGCGAAGGATAAATTGTTAGTATCTTAGAATATCACCATTAGATGGAAGCTGTCTCTGAGGTAAATCCTCAGTGGGTACTTCAATAGGTAAATAACCTCAACCTTTCTCTATTTTTCCGTTTTTTCTTATTCTGTCCTATCATCGTCTTTTTTTTAGCTGTTCTTCCCATTTTTATATGAATTTCGAAATAATCAGTTTTTTAACTATGTTTATACTAAATTTTACACTTGCATTAAAAATCTATGAAGTCGTTATTCGCTCTCGTATCATATTTTATCTAAGTTAACCGTTAAGGCTTTTATAACCGTTTACACAAGAATTTCTTCGTGCACAAATTTGAATTCCTTCGTGCACAAATAACTCCATTTAGAAATTTTTTCCTTCAAAAAAATTTTCTAAATGGAGTTATTTGTGAATCAATCCATGAGGAATTATACCAACTAATTATATTGTCCAGAGGGAATTATATCAATCGCTAACAATGTTCATAGGGAATGATCCTATTCTTTAATAATGTCGTATGGGAACTATTTGTGTACCAATTATTACATCATATTAAAACCTATTGAAATACTAGATAGCGCTGTTTTTATGTAAATACACATATGTAAAATACCATAAAACTCAGAATTTACATCTATTACTTCTAGTCATTAAAAAATAAAAATAAAGATTTTGGTAACTACTTAGGACCTATAGAATGGGGATCAGTGGAGAGCACATTGAAATTTTAAAAAAAGTTTGTTTTTGGGACACCCTATTGGATATGACCTACTTTCTACTTCAAAGCCGTCAATATAAAAACAAGTCAATTTTTTTTTTGGTCCCTACCAACCAAAAAAGAAAAAGAAAGAAATTATTAATAACTTTTTAATAATTTCTTTCTTTTTTTTTATTTTAAATTATCAAAAACTTTTTAGTAATTTATGATTATGGCGCCCGAGACCCGTATGCCCTTTTTTCCTTCCCCCTCTACGGATCTGATAAAGAATATATTTTAAGTTTTCATTGCAATCTATAATTACGTTGGTGTTTTTAATTATATTAGATAACAAATTTTAATTATATTTGATAACCAATTTTAAAAACATCTAATTTTTTTTTTTAAATTTACTTCCTCAAGAATCCAGAAAGGGCAACTACAGGAAGCTTCTCTTTTTTTAAATTTATTTTATTTTTAAATGAAAGAGCTGGCGAAAGAGTTGAAGCTCTTTCTTTAACACCAAAACGCGATGAGACTGTCTGACCGCGGTATTTTTAGAGGCGAATTATGGATTTGAACCCGCAACCTTCTGATTGTGATCGAAAAGTTCAACAACTAGTCTACCTGCCGCATTAAGTAAAATCAAAGTAAAATCAAATTCCCACAACCCTTTCGAAGCTCTATAATTTAAATGTCATAGTTTGCATTCGTTATAACATTTTGCTTAATAACCTACTTTTTAAATTTCAAAATAAATAAATCGGAAGCAGTGTAACAACACTGTGTGCCATATAATGTTGTCTTAAGTAATTAATACTATGAAGTTATAACTTAACTAAAATATAATTTAACTATAAAATAATATACTTTAACAATAATATCTTTATTAAATATTAGTTAATAAATTCCTAAGTAAAAAAATTTTTTATAGAATTTTTAACAAAGTTTTGATTAGGCCAACATCGCATCGTAAAAATATGTAAATTTCTCTCAAATATTCAATGCAATTTATTTTGGCAAAATACTCGTCATACTTGTCCTATTTTCACAATGCAAATTCTATAGTTATTTCAATTTATGTATCAAAGCTCAATCTGTTGTTTTTATCTTTTAAATTTCTAATGTTTTTTTTTTTTTTTTTACCATACTCTATATATTGGCTGCAATAGATATCAAAATAAGATAATTTAAAGATGTTTTTCATTAAGTTCAATTTTAATGAGTTCTATGTACAAAGAAAACGATGTTGTAATCGTGGCTGCTTTTCGCACTCCTGTAGGAAAATATAAAAAAGCATTTGCGAACTTGCAAGCTTATGAATTAGGAGCTGTCTTAATAAAAAAAATCATTGAATTTTGTGACTTAAATCCTCATGAAGTATCAGAAGTTATAATTGGTCAAGTTTATACAGCAGGCATTTTTTGTTTGTTAAATTTTTGTTTTAAAATGCAAATTAAACATTCAACTTATTTTACAACATTCTTTTATTTTATATTTATGTATTGCACCAATTAAAAGTTAATTTGTTTTCAATCTTCATGAAATTATAAAGATAAAATTTCTATATTTCACTGTTTTTTAAACTGCAGGTCAAGGACAAAATCCAGCTAGACGATCATCTGTTAATGCTGGTCTACCTTACTCTGTCCCATCGTCTTTGGTTAACTGTCTTTGTGGATCTGGCTTAAAAGCTGTTGTTAATGCCTACCAAGCTATAAAAAATGATACATCTCTCCTGATAATTGCTGGTGGGCAAGAAAGCATGTCAAATGTAAATACACATTAGTTACAGTTAAAATAAATTGGTTAAATAATTCTATCAAAAATTTATATTAATATACTTTTTTTGTATAGATAATATTCTTTAAAAAAATTTGAATTATAAAAAAAAAAAAACATTGATTTTTTCATGATGGAAAGTTTTTGTTGTTATGAATGGATAATTAAAATTTTTATATTTAGTAAGTAAAACAGTGTTTTTTTTTTTAAATTAGTGAAGCAGTGTGAAAATGTTTAAAATTTTCATAATATTATTTTAAAGGTTCCTCACTATGTAAATGTTATCCAAGGTAATAAAATTGAAGATTGCCCTAAAATAAATGGTTTAGTCCATGATGGGTTGAGTGATGCTTTTTACGGATATCATATGGGAATCACAGGTTAATTTACTTTCTTTTCAAATTTTTAAATCTTGTTTTTGTTTTCTTTTAACCTCTTATTTTTTAATTTCCTAAAGTAATAGTAATATATTAAAATAAGTCTTTTTAGATTACATGACAAATAAATAAAAAAAACACACACAAAAAAAAAAACACAATAAATTATACAAAAATTTGTGATTTGTAAAATGTAGACTTTAAGTGAAAAAAAGCATTTGTTATTTAATAGAAAGTAAGTTAATAGCAAAACTGAGAAAAAGAGAAAAAAGATTGCTTTCATTTAAAGTTTTTGTATATTACAAATAGTATCTAAAAAGTCAATATTTGCAGCTGCTAAAGCACGAACTAATTAATAAATGTGCAGCTTATCTTTAGTAAGGAAAAATGTAGGAAAAAAAAACTTGTTAATTCTATTCTTAAATGCATTAACTGATGGGGCCTTTTTATGTGTTAGCGGTAGGTTATTCCAATAATTGACAACACGATTTGTGTAGAAATTATGACGACCATTATTATATGTGAATTCACACATTAAAACGTTGGATGGTGAGCAAAGTGGTATGTTATGTCAATTCATAATCTCAAAACAACTTTCTAGTTAAAACTGTTAGATCAAGTTACCACGTTGCCTGTGAGTTTTTAAGTTGTAAAATTGAGACACCAACACCCTTCAATGTAAGGTAATCCTATTAAATTATGAGGTACTTTTGTTGCTTTGTGCTGAATTTTTCAATTTCTTTGATGTCATCTTTTTAGTAAGGACACCATACTGGAGCAGCAAATTCCAGATGCGGCATAACATACATAGTGCATAGTTTACTCCAAAGCATTAGGCTGAGTATCATATTTGCTTTACGTGTTGCAACCTGTTGATTCCCTTTTAGATCATTTGATATGAAGATACCCAAGTCTCTTAACATCTGTTGTCGCAACAGATATTAGATGTAATTTCATCATTCATTACATATTTATGTTTACTATTTCCATAACCAAGGTGCATAACTTTACATTTTGCAATATTCAATTCCAATAGCCATTCTTTTGACCATTATGTGACAATTTTTAAATCGTTTTAAAGAATCAGATAATAAGCATCGTGAAACTCAGGTGTTGTTTTTTGTAACAGTCAAGTGTCATCAGCATAGTTTTTATGAACTGATTTTATCTTATCTATTAAGTTGTTTATGTAGATGACAAATAATGTTGGACCCACAAAAGTCCAAAATATTTAACTCCACTTAGAACATTGAATATATTATTTTTTATAAATCTATTAGATAATTACAAATCAAATTTATTAGTTACATGTATATAAGAGGGACTTTAGATGTTATTTTTTTAGCTGAAAATATTGCAAAACAGTGGAATATTTCAAGAGAAGATCAGGACAAGTTTGCATTGGATAGCCAACAAAAAATTTCTATCGCTTTAGAAGAAGGTCATTTTAAAGCTGAAATAGTTCCAGTGACTGTCAAGACAGAGAAAGGCAAATTACTTTTTTACAAATGTTCTCTCTCTCTCTCTCTCTCTCTCTCTCTCTATATATATATATATATATATATATATATATATATATATATATATATATATATATATATATATATATATATATATATATATATATATGTATGTATGTATATATATATATATTTGTATATATATACATATATATATATATATATATATAATATATATATATATATATATATATATATATACATATACATATACATATATATATATATATATATATATATATATATATATATATATATATATATATATATATATATATATATATATATATATATATATATATATATATACATATATATATATTTTTTTTTTCAATTAAATAAAACTTTTTGACATGTTTCATCAATATTAATTGACATCATCAGGTATTAAAAAAAAACTTTTCATCTTTTTGATGTGTCCAAAATACACTACAAGCAATCACAACTTAATTTTTTTGTTGTATAATTTATATATTGATACATAAAAAGCATATTATAAAACTTAATATTTGATAGTAATTCCTTTCAGCTCTAAAAAAGCTTTGGTTTTTGGCATACTATTTATGTCTTTTGAGGTCAATACTTTAACAATTACACTTTAACACCTGGATCTCAAAACCATACTTCAATCTGTCATTCTGTTTGCTCTCTATTATGTATATCTGCATAAATAGTTCTTTTATCAAAAATTTAATGTATTTTTTTTTTAAATTAAAGTAGGAAACAAGCATTAAAATTTTAAAATTTTAATGCATTAAAATTTGTAATTATACAATTCCATTGCCTAAATTTTTTTATAGCTTAGTTTTGTTCACAGTTTGTTTGTTTTACATTTGGGTTTTAGCGGAAACTTTGTGTACATTAACTCTAGGTGATACCCTAATTAATGTGTTAGTAATTAAAAATTTAAAAATGGGACAATTGACTGTCTCAATGACCTTTTTTGGGATGCTGGGACAGCTAACTTGAAATTAGAAAAATTAGATCCCCTAATTTTAAGTAAGTTGTCCCAAAAACATCACAGTTTTCTGCCTAATTTAGTAAGGGACAACTTATTTAAAGTTAGGCAGAAAACAGTGATGTTAAATCAAGGTTTTCTGGGATCCTTCCCACCCTTACCCAAAATAAATATTATATTGATACAAAATCACTAGTTTTTTTTTTAAGTGTCAAAGTTGCCTTATGCAACAGAGCATGTAAGATGCTCAATGGCATGGTTCAAGTAGCTAGGTATTTTTGAGTCCTGTAGCATTTCCTACACTTGCAACATGTCTTAAGGTATTGTTACTTATAAAATTTGAGCTACTCCAAAACTTTTTTATATACGTGTGAAGATTTTCTGCAAAATTTTTTATTTTTTATTTGTTTATACTGTCTTGCAGTATATTCAATTTTAAAGGTACAGTGTGATCTATTTTAAAGGTGGCACAAGTTTATAATTTATAAATACACTAACAATTCTAACAACATACTAATTTAGTTCTGCTAATATTTTGGAATATTATTAGATAATGTAAAATAAGGTTTTTTGTTTTTTAGTTTAATTGTGCCTGCTAATAAAAGTATACATTGGATTATGGTTTAATGGAACTCCTCTATAACTGAAATTTTTTTATAAAATTATCGATTGTTGGGCTGCATAGAATATGAGCCAATCAGGATGATATATTTATATTGTTAAAAGTTGCATTGTTAGCATATATATATATATATATATATATATATATATATATATATATATATATATATATATATATACATATATATATATATATATATATATATATATATATATATATATATATATATATATATATATATATATATATATATATATATATATATAAATACATAATATATATATATATATATATATATATATATATATATATATATATATATATATATATATATATATATATATATATATATATATATATATATATATATACATATATTATGTATTTATAAATTTTACAGAATACATATATTCTGCAAAAATACAGAATATATATATATCTATATATATATATATATATATATATATATATATATATATATATATATATATATATATATATATATATATATATATATATATATCTATATATCTATATATATCTATATATCTATATATATCTATATATATATATATATATATATATATATATATATATATATATATATATATATATATATATATATATATATATATATATATATATATATATATATATATATATATATATATATTATATATATATATTTATATATATATATTTATATATATATATATATATATATATATATATATATATATATATATATATATATATATATATATATATATATATATATATATATATATATATATATTCATATATACAGAAAAAGATAATCAATTATTATGGTTTACTAATAATAATACAAATACATTATTACAATATCATAATTTTCATAATATCTTGAAATTTACAATACATTGCAAGTTTCAAGATATTATGAAAAAGAACTTAAAATCCATATGTAGGTTGCATAAAACATTATTAAAGACAGACAAAACATCTCATTTGTATAAATTATCAGAAGATGAATAAAACAAACTGTTAACAAATGCAATTACTTCTACATACAAAAAATTGGTGCCAGAATTAAAAGATCAAATAAATAAGAAAGGAAAAAACCTTTTAATCCCCCATGAAGTGTATAACTATATTGAGACAAACCGATCGGCTGGCTGTTTCAACCTTCAGTTAAAAACAACCCTTTGGTTTGCCTTATAAATTTTTCAAAAAATGAGGTAGGAAGAAATAGGAAAATTATCTTTTTTTTTTAATTTTTATTTTTTTTAAACATCTTCGCTTCCAACAAGGCTGCAAGCAACCACTAATTAGAGTTAGAAGTTACTGGAAGAGAAAAGATGAAGATTAAAAGATTGCAAATTATATGAATCAGGAAAGCAAGATGAAGGAAGCGAATTCCAAAGAACTGATGTTCGAGGAAAAAAACTAGACGAATAAGAGTTTTTGGAGCACTTAGGAACAGTAACAGAAAAAGGATGAGACTTAGTTGAATGACGAGTAACACAATAATGAATTTTGGTAGATGGGTAAAAATATATGAAATCATCCAGACCATGACACCCTTACGTCTCAGAATTTGTTTATTTTTACACCACTTGCAGTCCATATCAAAAAAATAATAACTGCGAAAATTTTAGTTAAAAATACCAATGGGTTCCATAGATATTGTCACTTGAAATAATGCTGACTCAGCATTTTAGTGATTTTCTGAAGCGACTACAAAGCAACTTTGACATATAGTATCTTCATAATGGCTTGGGGAAATTTCCTAAAATTTGATACTCTAATAGATTTTAACTTGAGGAATCCAAAAATAGCACTCTTAAGACTCGATTATCTCAAGAAATGCCTCATTTATCCAATTTTGTTCAAAATTATTGACTTGTAAATTAGTGATTTTTGGAGGTAAAATAAAGACTATGGCCCAAAATCCCAAGTAAAAAATTTAATTGTATATCATTATTTCATCTTAGGTCTACTGAAAAAAATTAGATTCATCAATTGTCTCTCTAATACGCGATCAAAATTTGCATTTAAAAATGGTGTCTTTTTAGAAAAATTTAATTTTTGTAACAAAAGCAATTAAAATATTTTTTAAAACATTTATTTGAATAAAACATCAAATAGTGTCATTTATTGAATAGTTTAGGACATTTATAGTCATGGGCCAAGGGAGATACCCTCCACTCCCACGGGAGGCCTCTACGCCCCCTCCCCCAATCTCCCTAGATTTTTTTTTTTTTTTTTTTGCATAAAATGAATAAATAATGCAAAAACATACAATTTAATTTTAATTTTGAAAAAGAAAATTTCATTATTTCAAATTGGTGACTTAAAACCTCCTTTTATATAAAAAACAAACATAAGTTTTGTTTTGTTCTTTTTAAAGGTATTTACTTGTTTGTATTTTCTTAAAGAATTACTTTTAATTTTATAGTTTTTATATTATTTTGTTAGGTAATAAATAATAAAAATAATTAATATGGAGAAATGTGACATTGGAAAAAGTCTTAACATTCATTGCCACAAAACTGGATTTTCAAGAAAACAAGGTTTTGTTCAATTTAAAGATCTTCCTTGTGAAAAACAAGAAGAAATAATATGGCAAGCAAATTTAAAGGAAAAATATAGTTCAATAAGAATTATATGTTGTTATCATGAGCAATTCTATGAAAAATATTTTGAGAGAAAAATTACAAAGTGTTGCAATCCTTTTGGAACACACAAGGAAAGTAAAAAAATTGCTATAAAAGGTAATCTTACCTTATTTACAACAGAATTGATATGGAAATTAAAAGAAAACAATTTATTATTTATAAAAAGTTTTATAATTTCAGTTATTTTAACAACGTAAAACTAAATTTGTTTTTTAGCTAATATAAAGATTTCCATAGACATGGCAAACTATTTGCAAAAAAATAATGTTTATGTAACCCCAGGTTGGAAATTCTGTAGTAAATGTTACAAAAAAGCAATAGAAACTGATGAAGATTTAAATTCACAGAAGGAATGGGAATCAAAAAGTGAGAAAAAAATTAAGTTAGATACCACTATAGAATTGCTTGGAATCTCACCGGTCAAACTAAAAAGTCTTTCAAAACACAGCAAATTGCCTGTAGCAAAACAAAAGTTTGAGAACACTATTGACAGAGTTGCAAAAATGGTCTCATTAGCATATAATATTAAAGAAACTTTTTTAACAACAGAAATAAAAAGCCCTATTTTAAACAACAACATTAACAATGACCATGATCTAGACATTTTAATGTATGAAATAAAAAATAAAATTTCAGAGACTGACTCTTATCGCCATAAGGTGCAAATGTTAACACTCGCACCAAAATCATGGACACGTAAAAAGATATCAAGCTACTTTGAAGTGTCTG